AACCTGACTTCGTCCGTATCTCATATATAGTAGGGGGTATAGCGGGACCCATTAAGGAATGTACCAGAACTTGAGTCCAGGGGTCACACGGTTTTGGGTTTAGGGCTTCGGACTGTATCGAACGTCATGGCCATCATTGTCCTGCACGTTAGTCCTAGGTAGGAAAACAGTAGTGCCAGTGCAAAGATGCGATCGTATTTTGCTGTGTTTGGGGGCTTTATGTGAATACAAGTAACTAAGTAAACACCAGTTATATGTGTGTATGTATATACAAAAATGTTTACACACACAGTATGTAGACAGTTGTGTAAATTTTAGCGCGAGAAGAAATTCAAGGCCCTGCTCCTCATTCGCAGAAATCCTGTTGTCTCACTTGGTGGGGCCGAAGATTTCAACTTTTATATCCTGACCTTGCCGTACAACAACTTACATTCTAACTCGCGGTTCAGGGTTTAGGGTCTAGGCTAGGGAATAAGGGGACATAAACTATAAAACCCTATATCATGTACAGATTACTATGACACAACGGCGTTTACTTACTGGTGGTTAGTAGGGATAAGGGACTACAATCCTTATATAAATCAGTGTAGCATATACTCCCGTATTTCCTACCAAACCCTAAGCATCTCCGTTGGTTCCAACATCTGTGTAAACAGGACGGGTGCACATCTTCCACTTCACCCATAATTACTATGACACAGTATCCTTACATCAGTACCCTGTCATACCTTATTGCTCACCTGATGTCACACTCACCTTTTCGACTTCATACGAGAAGGAATGATGTGTGAGAGTGACTTTGAGAGCTCTATTTCAGGCTTAACCTTGAACGGCAAGCGCTTGGCTGATTCGATGCCCAACAGGAATACTGAGTGTTTGCTTAGGGTTGTGTAATGCCACTACATGGTAATCATAGTTGGCTCAACCATCTAAACTGACACACGCCTGCAAGGTCTCAGGCAAAGCCTAGCAGACTTTGCCACGAGGCTGTGCGCAATCCCCTGTGACAGCCCGATAGAACAACTAGAGAAGCCATTGCAAAAGCTCTGAGCTCTGTACCCTACTCTTTACACTCTGTCCTAAACTCAGAACCATCACCCGTAAACCCTAAAACGAAACCCTGAGCCTTAATCCCCAATTGCTAGGACCCTATATAGCCTCCCTGAGGCAGATAGAACATGAAAATCCTCAATATCAGAACTCGATCGCCATATACCCCATGTTCTATCTACCCTGAAGGGGGTTAAGCTAAACCCCAAACCCCTATGTTTCCTTATGGGATACGATACCCTGAACCCGAAACCCCATACTCTATCTACTTGAGGGTGGCTAAAGAACCTTGGACCCTAAACCCTAAATCCTAAACCCTAAACCCTAAACCCTAAATCCTAAACCCTAAACCCTCAACCCCTGCATCTTTGGCAAACGCTGAGGTGCAGACCTGCTTACAACTCGCCCCCAATCTTCTGGGCGGACGCCTCTGGCGTGTGTGTCTCAGAATCTTGGGTTTAGGGTTCAGGGTTTAGTGTTTAGGGATCGGGGTTGCAGGTTACTTTTTGGGGTTTCTGGCGTCCAAGTATATTCCATGAACCCCGAAGAGTACATATTCTTTCCCAGGGGCCACTGAACAGCTTAGCATATGGGAAGTCATGGGTATTCATTGAGAATGCCTTGCAATGCAGAAGGTTTCTGGGTCTAGTTGATTCTCAGGGTTTACGGTTTCGGACTGTATCTTTTGTAGGATGAAATTGCCATGCAGTTCCTTAGCAGTGGTGTGTGTGTGTGTGTGTGCGTGCTAGATCCTAAGCCCTAAACCCTAAACCCTGAAACCTAAAACTTAAACCCTAAACCCTAAACCCTAAACCCTAACCCCTAAACCCTAAACCCTAAGCCCTAAACCTCCCAATGGTTATGCTGTGATTGAAGCCCCTGAGGCGTACAGATCATCTGAGGCGGCCTGGTCCCCGTGCTCTCAACCCTTTACAGGGTTTACAAGGTTTACAGGGCTTAGGGTTTATAAGGTTTACAGGGTGTAGGGTTAACAGGGTTTAGGGTTTCAAGGGTTAGGGTTTACAGGATGTACAGGGTTTAGGGTTTATAGGGTTAGGGTTTATAAGGTTTACAGGGTGTAGGGTTTATAGGGCTTAGGGTTTGTAGGATTTACAGGTTTAGGGTTTATAGGGTTAGGGTTTATAAGGTTTACAGGGTGTAGGGTTTATAGGGTTTAGGGTTTTTAGGATTTTATAGGGTTTTAGGGTTTATAGGGTTTTGGTTTGTAAGGTTTACACGGTTTAGGGTTTATAGGGTTTAGGGTTTGTAGGATTCAAAGGGTTTAGGGTTTATAGGGCTAGGGTTTATAAGGTGAATACGGCTTAGGGTTTGTAGGATTTGCAGAATTTCGGGTTTATGAGGGTTTATAGGGTACATATATAACCTGAATAGTGGAGAATGACATGGAGAAATGGAAAATCAAATGAACACTACTTCTCGAAAGAGCAGAAAAGCTGAACCCCGAAATCCTCATCTTTTTCGATGTTTCGGAGTTTTGGGGCGTGCACATAAGATGTATAAACAACGGCTACTCCTATGCCTCATCCAAAGCGAGGTACTTCACATGTGTGGTCAACTTCTGTAGAGTGGCCTCCTAAACCCTAAATCCTAAACCCTAATCCTAAACTCTAAGCCCTTGACCTTGAACACCTCAGGAGTCCATCTTTGGGGTCTATACTTCCTGCTCTGAACCCGCTTCATCCCTGGAAGCTAGGATTCTGAGCCACAGATCTATGCAGAACTTCAAACTTCAAAGTGTGAGCTTCAAGCGTTGATGCCCTGAAGCCTCATACCCTGAAGGGTTTAGGGCTTCATGAGGGGTTGGGGTTTAGGGGTTAGGGGGCTTAGGGTTCAGGGTTTAGACACATACCCTGAAGGGTTTAGGGTTGAGGGTTTAGCCGCATATTCTTCATCAGATAGTTTGCCCGATGCTTTATGTAATGGAAGCTACAGGGATATCGGGGGTATCTAGGGTTACTGTGGAGACATACTGTACTGATACATAAAGTCAATGATGGAGAATCAAATGCACAAAGGACATGGAAAATGAAAGAGAAACTACCCCCAAAATCAGGAACTCAGAAGCACACTATGCCAGGGGCAAAAGCCCTTAGCTATAGAATTGGGATCTCGCTAGTTAGTATACATCATGACATAATAGCCTTTCTTCTATGGATTACCAAGCTCCACTTTCTTGCTACACCCAGGCGGTTCCGCAGGGTCCCAGTAGGCCTTAAACACTTCCACGTCTGGACCCCCTAAACCCTAGACCCTCTGTCTCTCAGGCGTTTGCTGGACGGTTCCGAAAGCCGGAAGGCCGTCTTGTTCCAAGGTTTCTGGATGCAGATTTATGAGACCCTAGAGGCTTAGGGTTTCGGGATTTCATTTTTCCCTCCAGAAGGAATGCCCGACAATTCCCATGTGTAGGAGTAGTGAACTAGGGGCGACGAGGGCATCCTTCTCGCCCGCCCAAACCATCACTCAGCCATGCCGTGAAAAGCTTTGGAATTCCATAGATATGTCGTATACCGGCGCTTTAGCTTGTGCATTCTATCGGCGAGGGAAGCCCCCTTCTTAGGATCCAAAGGCTGCACCCACGATTTTCATTTTGCCTTGGATGTAGATAGCCAGTAGTGGCCTCCCCAAAGAACTTGGATCCTGAATATGCATGCCCCCAGCAACACTCCTCACCTTGCCAACTGCGGAAAGCTTGCAGAAAGCTCCACACCGCATGTGCCTAAAAAATCCGGCAAGCTGCCAAGTGTGGAGGGTTTCGGGTTTAGGGTAGACATGTCGCCAGCTCTTCCACCCCCATAATAGCCCTCGGAAACATTGCTGAACTCATCAGGGTCTTGTGAAATCTTAGCAGTCAGTATGAGGCTATATAAGTCCCTAAAAGAGCTCGAGGCAATCCAGCCAAACTTTGTGTTTAAACCGATATAAAACAACTTGAACAAGCAAGGTCTACGGAGTCAGACAACACCGTTTAACTACACTAAATATGATGCTTTCTATGTTTTGTTTGGGGGCGAGGGCACGCGCTGTTTACGGAAACCTCCATATGAACTCCCGGGCCCGTCCTATGTCAACATTTTGCAATCACCAGTCGATTTGTCCATGCAACGTTTTTATGCACACGAAATCCATTTCTCCTTTGCAAAGCCCAATTAAAACATGCCTAGTAATCCCTACATTACGCACTGTAATTCCTGTACAATTCTCCTCACAATGTCTGTATTCCATGTTGGGGTTACCGAGCCCCCTGTAATGGTATGGTAGCTATTTTCCGTGCAGGGGTTACCAAAATCCTCTCATTGTGCCACACTCAGCCATACACCGTAAACCCCAAATCCTAAGCTCTCGGAGTTACCAAAATCCTCTTGTTGTCTAGCAGGCACCTCAGATGATCTCAGCGAGATGTTTCGGGGCCCATGGCAAGCTACGCTGCGCTGGCTGAGTCCCAAGCCGAATAGGAAGACCATGTTTAGTGTCAAGGGCTTAGGGTTGTGGTTTGCTGCTGAAGTTTTTGGGGCTTAGGGTTTTTTGGGAACAAGGATTTTTGGGATCCACGTATTCTTGCCGAAGGGTTTTAGGAATTGAGGGGTTTGGGTGTTAGAGGCTTTGGAATTTCAATTCTGGCAAGAGCTACTAAAGCCTCTTCGAGGTGCAGCTTTGTTGCCGGCAGCAAGTGCAAGTGCAAGTGATCATGTTCGGAAGCCTGTCCCCCAAACCCTACACTGTCGCAGCAAACAGCAAACATGGGACCATGCAGACTTATGAGGATTGTAGACAGGCTCCCGGCATCCAGGCACTGTGCTTGTCCAGCAATCTTCTGCGAAGAGCGCTTGCCTTGAGATCTTGTGGCAACGGGCTGTTTTCGAGTTGTTGATGTTCGCGCTGGCTTGAGGTTCCTGATTTTGTTGACGACCATGCAGGCATAATTGGCTCAGCCTATCCAGTTGTTTGGAACTATTAGTAGCCCATTCTCTGCGTGCCAGGTTATCATGACGGCGTTGGAGGAATGTTTGCGGAAGGAGACGCTGGCTGCGGTCCACGATGTCCACAGCCGGGCAACCGCGCGGGCCCTTGTCTATGAGCAAATCCAGCACGGCCATGTCCAGCGATTGTTCGTCGAGTATGCCCACAATGATCATGGCGAAGACGGGGATCTCAATTCGTTCATGTACAAGAAACATCTGAGTATCCAGTCGGGTCAGGCAGTGGACGCTTCTGAACTGGCTGAGGAGATTCGGCGCAAGGGATATTTCGGCCGTCTCAATCAACATGATGCTAGCCCTGGACTCGTAGAGCTTGCAGCGTTTGCTCTGTCACGGGGTGCACAGGTGATTGCGGCTGATCTTTCCCTGGAGGAAACCCTGGAAGAGGTGCGGAAGTACAACGAATGGCCAGTCGGTCATCCCAACTCGGAAACGAATGCGGCTGGTGAGACCGGGCTCAAGTTCCGCGATGAGTTCGCCGCGAAAAGAATTGCACAATACCTCATCCAGGGCCCGGATGGACCTGGGCGTTTGATGCTGTGGGGCGCAAATCATTTCCAGGCGATCGAAGGTTTCAAGGACAGGCTCTGAGATCTGATCCGCAACTACCGCATCTCCGAATCGTCATCGCGGAGCGTGGCGGTGCGTGAGTTTAGTGAACGTGGATCAGCGGTCTGACGGAGCAACATCCGGTTCAGGTTCGTTTCGATGCTTTGCTAGCATTGCTGCATGTACAGTCGAGTTGGGGGTCCAAGATACCTGGCATTGGTAGCAGTGGTAGCATTGCGAACTATGATGCTCTGAAAGTTTCTGAGCCAGCAGCTAGGCCATGCTAGAGCACCGAGCGTCTGCAATGCAAGTCTTTGCAGATGCTTAAGCAGCAAGGGAGAACGGGACAGTGGACTGGAATGAGCAAGGCTTGGTAAACAGAATGTTTGCCATCAGACATCCACAGTACTGTGGGGTGCAGCGAGTAAGTTATGATAATACTGCAGAAGCGTAGGTGAGAGCAGTGTTTGGTGGCGTGTCTACCTACTGTGCTTCGTCAGCCGTTTGATCGTGAGGTCTCTCTTGCAGTGCTTGTTCGTTCTTACAGTGGTGTCAGAGGCTCCCGCCATCTAGATTGCGAATGAGCACCCTAAATCCGAAACCATTGAGGCAGTGGCAAGACCGAAATTTCAAATCAACATAAGGCTACTCCTTAAAAGGGTGTTATGTGGGGAGTATTATTTGGGCTATTAAGGGGGATACCAGGAGTTTAGACTACATTTCATCTAGCTCCGATAGAAGCCGGTCCGCATTTTCCAGAGCTGGAAGCAAGCGGCCAATGATTTTGTGAACCCGCTTAGGTTGCTGGTCCACGTGTCCAGAGGGGAACATAGGCACCATGAAAGCAGCTTGATCAGCGGATGCCACCCAGGTGCATTGTCATGGCCTTTCCCCAGGCACAAGCAGCAGCAAGTTGTAGAGGACCAGAGTAGCCACAGGAGTCTGCGCCAAGATGGGGCGCATGTATGGCAAGGGCAAGGGCATAGCCTCCTCGCTAAAGTCTGGTAGTTTCTCAACAGACACCCTTAGACCCCTGAGTAGGGACCCCCAATCACGGTTTGTATAATCTCTTTAGACTTGAGAGAGATCCCATCTGCTGTAGCTTTCACAACTGCATTGATTCAACCCACATGGGAGTCTCCAAAATTAGTGGTCCGAACTCCCATACAGCAGTGTCTGTTTTCTGGCGCCCCCAAAGGACCCCTGATCTTTGAAAACCTCCACATGTTTGTCTCTTGGCTTGGCAAGGTGGCACAAGCAGCAG